GGTTACCTAATATAAGTTATAAATAATATTATGATTCACTACCATATAACATAACAACAATCAACAAACATACATATTTAACTTAAAACAAGTCTGTCAGACAGTTTCCAAGTCAACAGACTGATATACGGCTCTTCCAGTACTGAAAATTCACAACGTTTCAGAGGTCTTTGCTGCCTCCCAAATCAGTGGCCCTGATGATGGAGGCAGAATATAATTTTAACTGAGTAGCATGGAAATGTAGTGAGAAACATGTTTCCCCTGCATCCGCAATATGCCATTTCTTATTCCTCTGACAAAGGTTGCAAAGTCCTAGGAACACCAAACAACTTATATGAACCACAGACCACATTAAAGGATACTTAATTGATGTCTTCAACGATATATTTTATGTAACAGTGGAAGACAGAAAAGTGATTTTTTCTACCTTTCAAAACAAATACACAAACAAAATTCAAGCTTCAACACCTGTGATATCATTTGCATCTTTTCATCTTTCCTCTACAGCTGACAATTTTTTTTTTACAGTTGTTAACATTACACTACATTTTCCATTTAATACATTAGTTTAACCTCAGGCTAATTAATAGTGCGTCCAAGTGCAAAACATTATCATCAAATGGGATGAAAAGATGATCATGAATGGTGAATATGTAAGGATTTGAAAGGAGGTGGGAACAGTCCATTTGAAGGTGCTACCTTGCATTTACCTGGAGAGATAATTTGTACTTGGTGCTTGTATTACAAAAACAGTACTCACAAAGAATAAACTAATGACTATCAATATAAATTGTCATGGTTTCGTGAAGAAAGGAATTCGTTTGTTGTCACATTCATGTATAATACGAACATATATGTAAAAGACACACAACTTTAACACCAATAACTCTTTGACAGAATTAATGATTTATCTTAAAATAACAAAGTGCATTACATGCAGGTTTTCTGTTACCATTTATTACCATTACCAACTGCTAACCTCTGCATTTGTCTTAATGCCAACGCTGCCCACCTGTTGTCTAAAAGGAAAGCCACACAGCAATCCTTTTCCACTTTAAAACATCAAATTGCATATTCTTTTACACGTTTACTATTTAATTAATTGGCATTTTGAAAATACAGAATGTTACTATTAACAAATTAATCAAATAATATTAAATGGTTACTCATTTAAAGATTTAAATTTGTAAACAGTCCTAACATGTCTGAATTTAAAATCAAATCTGTATTTTACTGATTGATGGAGTGAATATAAGACCGGCATTACATATTATCCATAAAAATAGGTGGAATGCAGAATATATCTTTACCACGTGTTTAATGGTCCTCATCTTGATTGTTTTGATACCATGTATTCTGTGATCTGAACACACAGTCAAAATCTCAAGCAAAAGCCATCTCTATTAAGACCATGAGACAGATTATCCAACACATTATTATTACTACTGTCTTAAAACTGATTTTAGAAATACTTGCAGTTTATAAGACATCAATAATAAAATTCATTATAGAACAAATGTTATATATACAGTGTGTTTCAAAATAAATAAAATGATTACAGTTACAAAAGTGAAATAACTTGGTACAAGTAGAGAAACACTTCCCCTGCTGCTATCTTTAATTCAGAATGGTGTCATCACTGTTAATGGTATTACATACTCTACATGCTCAAGCAGTCGTTATGGCCCCAACTGAGGGAGGACTTTCCTGACCATTTACTCTTCCAACAGGATTGGACACCAACCCATTTTCACTTCGCCATGAGAGCGTTTCTTGATTATCTGCTGCCAGAAAGTTGGATAGTGTGTGGTGGAACAACACCTTGACCACCAAGATCCCCAGACTTCTCAAATCTTGACTTCTCTTTTCTGGGGTTTCATCAACGATTCTGTCTACAGACTACCAATGCCACAATCCTTGCCAGGGCTACGAGGCTGGATCTCAGATGTGGCTTCTCAATTTGGTGCAACAATTTCATTACTGCCCAAGCATTTGTCATGTAAGTTGTGGTGCACATATTGAACACATGTAAACAAAACTTTGTAACTGTTCTCGTTCATTAAATATAATCAGCTGTAATCATCTTATTCATTTTTAAACACCCTGTACATTAAATACAACAAATTCTCCACCACGGTCATCTTG